AAAAAAAAAAAAAAAAAAAAATCCTATGCAGCACAGTTCTACTCTGACACACATGGGGGTGTCATGATTCAGAATCAACTCAAAGGTTATGCATTGGCTACTAAGAATGAGTGATGCAAATAGTTAAGCACTTAATTGGCTACTAACCAAAAGGTTGGTGATTGATACACCCAGAGCCACTGTGGAGAAAAGGCCTGGCTACCTACTTCCATAAGACTATAAACCCTACGGAGTGAAGTTCTACTCTTAAACACATTGGATCACCATGAATCGGAATCAACTCCACAACAATAGGTTCCGTTTTTGGGTTTGCACTGAACATTATGGCATGCCTTTCTGTCTAATAATGCTTTCCCTGATTTGTACTAATTTTTACCTTTACCTTTATTTCCTTTTCTATTAATTTTATCTTATTTTAAAGATATTTTTTAAATACCTTAAATCTCCTTTGAAATAAAGTAAAAGTAGGTGGTAAGTAAATTCAATAGATATGTTTATTTGGCAATTATTTTCAATATTACGGAAAAGAAGACATACTGAAGTGACAGTGTATACCTCTGAATAAAATACTAAATAATGCATTCATCTTTAGTTTAAAAATACTCTCAGAAGTTCCAAGTCCCATATATATAAGCAGTGGAGTAATCAGAACTCATCTATTAAAATGATGCTTGCTTTCTTAATACAACTTGATTTTGGGAAGGCATTTTTTTGTGTGTATAACCTTAATAATTTTTTCTAGTTGCTTATGTGTTACTTTAATTTAAAAGCAATATCATATGCTTTCCAAAATGTACAGTCATCTTTGCCTTTTCCTTACTTTCTCTGTCATTATTTTTTTTCTGCCAAATTCTTCTCTGCAGAAGTTTAGCTTTGAGAATAGACCATAAGAGAAAGAGTGAGCTGTATTCCACATTCCTCCGTTCTTCAATACCACCTAGACCTAGGACCTATATTGGATCATATTTCAAAAAATATTTATCAAAGCTCATTTATATATTTAATAAGTGAAAAACGTACAGCATTGACATGTTGGGAGTAGGCTTTATCACTTTCATTAAAAAAATAATAAGTAAATGCAAATTATGTCGATGGTTACTTATATGCTGCAACTGGTTAAAAACTGTTGTACAGACAGTCTGCACTCATACTAAAGGATAGTGCTATGCCCTAGCTGTAGCCAAATTTACTACTGCTTTTCTTGAAATCTAAGAAGCAGAAACCTTTTTATGCATAATCAGTGTGGCTCTCCAGCATGGTTCCCACATGGCCTGCTGGACCAAGGAAATTTCAAATAAATGAATCCATAGTCTATGGTTCCATAACAAACATAGCACAGTCTGGGCGATATCTTATTAACAGTAGTGGTGGAATCTTTGGAAGGTCCTTTGGCATATATCAAGGTATGATTAACTATAAGGCAGTGAACAAAGAAAGTGGCACCCTTACTAACTTCTTGAAATGCAACCCCTGAGCAATACATTTACCACAGGGCGAGGAATGGCCACATTTGTTCTTTAAAACAACTGATTCAAACTGTTCTCCAAATAAAATTCCAGCAACTTGACTAACCAAAGGCCACAGAAACTTTCTAACAGAAGACATTTATGATGAAGAGAATTACAAAGATAACATTTTGAAAAAAGATAGATTGAAGATTGAAACTCAATTCCTTCTACTAAAGTTATTGTTGTGTGCTGTCGAGTTGATTTCAACGTATAGTGACCCTATAGGACAGAGTAGAACTGCTGCATAAGGTTTCCAAGGCTGTAATCTTATGGAAGCAGATTGCCACATCTTTCTCCAGTGGAGCAGCTGGTGGTTTGGAACCACTGACCCTTCCATTACCAGCTGATCACTTAATCAGTGCGCCACCAGAGCTCCTTCTACTAACCTAGTGGGTCACAAACTTTAGCCTGCATTAAAATCATCTGGGGGGGGGTGCGTATTAAAACAGATTGCTAGTCCACTCCCAGTTTAAAATCAGAAAAGGTGTACATCAGGGTTGTATTCTTTCACCATCCTTAAATTCAATCCTCCAAACCTCAACATAAAGAAAACAAAAATCCTCACAACTGGAACAATAAGCAACATGATTATAAATGGAGGAAAGATTGAAATTGTCAAGGATTTCATTTTACTTGGATCCACAATCAACGCCCATGGAAGCAGCAGTCAAGAAATCAAAGGATGCATTGAACTAGGCAAATCTGCTTCAAAAGACTTCTTTAAAGTGCAGAAAAACAAAGATGCCACTTTGAAGATTAAGGTGCGCTTGACCCAAGCCATGGTATTTTCAATCACCCCATATGCATGCAAAAACTCGACAAGGAATAGGGAAGACCAAAGAAGAATTGATGCCTTTGAATTATGGTGTTGGAGAAGTATATTGAATATACCATGAACTGCCAGAAGAATGAACAAATCTTTCTTGGAAGAATTGTGCTTAGAAGGGAGGATGGCAAGACTACATCTCACTTACTTTGGACATGTTATCAGGAGGGACCAGTCCCTAGAGAAGACATCATGCTTGGGAAAGTACGAAACCAGAAGACCAAACCTGTTGCCATCGAGTCAATTCTGACTCATAGCAACCCTATAGGACACAGTAGAACTGCCCCATAAGGTTTCCAAGGAACAGCTGGTGGATTCAAACTGCTGACCTTTTTGTTAGCAGCCAAGCTCTTAACCACTGTGCTACCATGGCTCCTGGTAAAGTAAAGGGCCAGCAAAAAAGAGAAAGACCCTCAATGAGATGGTTGACATGGGGGCTGCAACAATGAGCTCAAACATAGCAACTACTGTGAGGATGGCACAGGACAGGGCAGTGTTTCATTCTGTTGTACATAGGATCACTGTTAGAAATGACTCCACATCACCTAACAGCAGCAACAGGTCTGAGTCAATGGTAGGGCCTGAGAGTTTGCATATTTAACAAGTTCTCAGGTGACATTGATACTGGTGGTTTGAGGACCACATTCGAGAACCATTGTACTAACCTGCCATCTCACGCCTCACTCTGGCTGCTCTCCTTGCCCTGACTATGTGAACCTGTTTTAGGATCTCTGACCATACTTCCCTTGGAAGAACTCTGACCAGTGCATATCAGAACAGTTTCTCCAAGAACAGAATGAATTTTCGGGATTCTTTATATCATATACAGATCTTAAGATATAGCCTTGAATAGTGGAAAATACCCCTTGGCCAACTGAGACCTCTCATTCTAAGGGTTTTTTTAGGTAATATTACAGATATGGAGTCCCTGGGCAGTGTAAACTGTTATCGTGCTTTGCCGCTAACCAAAAAGTTGGCGGTTCTAGTCCATCCAGAGAAGCCTCAAAAGAAAGGCCGGGTGATCTACTTGTGAAAAGTTGACCATTTAAAATCTGTGGAGCACAGTTCTACTCTGACACACAGAGGGTTGCCATGAGTTGGTGCTGGTATTGTAGATATAAGCGTCTGGCAGACAAAAGAGTTTGAGAAAACATCTCCCTTGAACTCACTAGATAAATGTTCCATAAAACACTTCAGGCAACACTAGTCTAAAACTAGTGGTGGAACTGGGTACATGTTTCAATTTACCAGTTTTTCAAAATTTATATGACATAGCATTGTTTTTTCAAATAAAATCTCACCCAGAACACCAACCTATAAATCAACATCATTTGTGGAATTCCTGAAGCACCTGAGAATCCCAAGATTCTGAAGAGCACAATTTGAAACCCCATTTAATGCATAATAAACACGGACTCTTACGACGGATGTTATTGCTTGAAGGTATCTTGGAGACCTGATCTGTAACCCTTTTCCCTAGTCCAGTTCTCTTTTCCACACTCCTTTAAAAAAATGTACTCTAGGCAAATTTTGCAGAAATGCAAGGACCATTTCATTTTCAGATATCTCGTTGTTGATAGCATTTCTGTACTTGATATTTTAAAACTGACGGACTATGACTGCCTTATTGGTAATGCAAATCTTGTGTTTTCAGCTTCTAAGTATTATGCTACATGTCTCATTTTTTACCTCTTACCTGAAGAAGGTTTGACCCACTTATTTATGTGTATGTCTTCCTTTTGAGGTAGAAACACCGTATTTTAATTAACATGCCTCTAAAAGAAATACAATAAAACTCTGGAGAGATGTGTCACATTTTCCTGTTTGTTATCAATCACTGTAATAACCACCTTTCTGTTTCCCAGCAGGAAGACCTACGGCAAACTACATTTCATTTGGAGATGGTGGTGAAGAGCAGATGCGGAATGCCATTTTTGCATGTGGCATTTTTGTTTACTAATTTGCAAAATTTGTTTTACCCCCTGCAGCTGTAAATGAAAAAGCTGTAAAACTAAATGAAACTCTAGGAGCTCAAGATAAGGCTTTTGAGAGAAATTTGCAAGGACTTCAGAAAGAGATTGATCAGATGATGAAAGAATTGAGGAGGAAAAATCTAGATACACAAAAGGAAGTTGCTGAAGATGAGTTGGTGTGAGTAGACACTCCATTACTTTTTCACTTGATGAACTATTTCCAAATTATTATTTACAGTTTTCTAAATTTTCCGTTACACATAAGAGCAGAAGATACTTTGTTTTGCTGACCTGGACATGTTTACTATTTATTTATTGATGCTTTATCTTACTCTAAGATGGATTGATAGTATGTTCTTGCCTATATATAGTCAAGTAAATGATTTTTTTCTCATGCTGTCTCTTTTATAACTAGGCTAATGGGCTTGCTTTTTTAATCACCTGCATTAGGGGCTTTTAGCCTACCACTAATTTTTTTTTTTATAAAAATAACTTTGGATAAATACAATTATTAATTTTCCAGGCTATCCTATTCAGTTTACCATCTTTAAAAATGCTGAAAAGAAGAGTCTTCAAATAATTAAACCCCTAATACTTTGAAATAAGTATTAAGGATTGGGAAAAGTGCTAGTGATTTTACTAACACTAATAAACTCTGTGATCCTGCACTTAATAAAACACTTTTTTTTATATTCACAGCTAACTTCAGAGTGATTCTATTATTAATACTTAAATAGTATATACTAAGCCAGCTGCATCAGGAGCACCTGAGAACTTTTTAGGAATGCACATTACAGGCCCTACTCTAGACCAACTGTATCAGAAATTTTGGGGATGGGGCCCAGCAATCTATTTTTTACCAAACCCTTCAGCAATTATGATGCATGTTACTTTGAAAACTACTGTTTTTCAAGTATTTAGCCTTTCTTAAGGACTCAGGTATTATCACTTTATGAAAACTATTAGGTTAAACCACAAAAATTCCCAGATCATTCAATTGGAAAGAAAAGAAAAGTAGATCAAAATAATATTATACTATCATGGCAATAACATAGATTTCTGTTCAGTTTCTAACCAGACATCTCAATATTCAGCCCCTACATTCAAAGTGATAGAAAAAATGTTTCATTATGGTGTTTTTTTTTTTAGTATGTGAAATAAGTCATAAAACTAATTTCATCAGTCAGAGTATGACAATGACTTGAGACCTTTTCCAATTGAAAATTTTATACCATTAATGAATAAAAAAGAGGTTTTTTTGTTTTTGTTTTTTTGGTTTTTGTTTTTTTTTTTTGGCTTGATTTTTAACTATAAATGGTCTTACCACTTTTCAGCTAACAGTTTTCAGCTTGTTTTAGTACATAGTGAACCTACTTTAAGTGTTTTCTTATGTTTTCATTCTTTTAATGTTAGCATCTCTTAGTCACACAGTTTAATACCAATGTTCCCTGAGGCAGTGGCCTGGGCTTATTGTCTGTTACCGGGTGGGTGGTTACAGAGCTGCAGAAGCCCTTCTGAAGAAAGTTAAGAAGCTGTTTGGAGAGTCTCGGGGGAAAAATGAAGAAATGGAGAAGGATCTTCGAGAGAAACTGGCTGACTACGGCAACAAAATTGATGATGCTTGGGACCTATTGAGAGAAGCCACAGATAAAATCAGAGAAGCTAATCGCTTGTCTACAGCAAACCAGAAAAACATGACTGTTTTGGAGGTGAGTCTTGGGGCAGCTTTCATCAGAATCTGGGAGGGCAGGAAGGGAATGAGGGGTGTTGAACATGGCTGGAACCTGTCAAGTTGATTCACTTTTAAAAGGTCAAGAATGACTGCTCTGAAAAGAGACCTTTAAGAAGTGAACCAAAAATGATCCTTTTTTTTTTTTTTTGTCCTCAATGTGCATTGCTTATTGAATCAAATAAAATTTAGGTAAACTTTTCAATATTTCTAAAGACAGTATGAAACCGTGGAGGGAGCTCTTTACTGAGAGTGAGGGACCGTAGTTTTAATGAAAATTGTGCCACTAACTTGAAGTACAAGCTTGGGCAAATCATTTACCAACTGTAAGTATCAGCTCCCCAACCATACAAGGAATGCATTAAACTAGAGCACATCTAGGATATCTTCAAGTATTAATATGACGTGATTTTACAATTCAACTAGCCTAATCCACAAACCATGGTTCAGAGGTGTGGCTGCCAAAAACCACAGAAGTTCCCTGTATTTCCAAATGGAATCTGGGCACAAAAGAGAAGCTCACTGAGAGATCAGAACTTGGAGAAATTTTGATTCCCTTTTTCCTTTGCAATATGTTCTTTGGAAATGATATTTTAATAGGGACTAACATGATTAGATCAAGTCTGAGTTGCATATTTTCCTTTCCTTTTCCTTACAGACAAGTTACTTCTTTCTTTAAGAAATAATGGGCAGCCTCTGCCTTTTCCCCAGTGCTGATGTTGCTAGAACTAAAGCAGATTTTCCCAGCTTTTTTTTTTTTCTCTGTTTCTTCCTTAATACTTAACAAGGCAAATTGGTTACTTTTCCTAAGAGTAAACTCTTCACATATGAAAGCACAAACTTGTATATGATGTTTAAAAAACAGCAATAACTTTCTCCCCAGAAACAAAGTATCTGACCCCAACAGATCTGAAAGCAGCAGTGGACCTACATCTCTTCTAACATACAATTTCACCTTCAACTATAACTGACTTTTCTCTGGCAGGTATCACGCTCTTAAGAAATGTTTGTGGAATGACAGTTAATTTAAAAAAATACGGGTTTTGTTTTAAGCCTCTCATTTCTTTCCATTTTCCTTTGGATTAAGAGGTTAGAGGATGAATTAATTTTTTAAAGGTGTGTGTGTGTGATTGTGTGTGTGTGTGTGTGTGTGTGTGTGTGTGTTTCCTTTTCTGGTTCTCTCTCCTGGGACTTAGCCTTGTCATTCTCATGGAAGATTGAGGAGGCTCAGTTTTAAAAAAAACTAGTGTATCTAATCTTAACCAATTTGGAGTCTACTGACATGCTAGCAATATTAAAGAAAAAGCACTGTCTTGTGAAGTGGGCTGCTGGGCTGCTGTCATATCACAGGCTCCGGTATGATTCATCCTGCTGTGTGATGCACCAGTGGTGTGACTTACCCAGAGGTACATCTCTCCATTTTATGGCAACAGTTTAAGAAATTAAAATAAGCATTTGGGAAGTATTTCAAGAAGAGTTATAGTGGCATAGGAAATGGTGCTTTCAGCTATTCCTTCCTTTTAGTAATGCTTAAAACCAGGAGCCACCGTTCTTGGGCACCTCTAGAGATGCCTGGAGTTTATGTGGTCCGTACTAAAGATCTAAATGGTCCTTTTTGTATTTTCATTTAATATGCCATGCTTAAATATAGGCTTGTTAAAAACTTACTGGAGAAAATAAATTGACCAAATTAACACAGGTAAGATAGAGCTTCTTTAAGGTTGCTTAAGTCTGATTTAAAGGTTAGTGCCACTAAAACAAAACAAAACAAACCCATTGCCACTGAGTCCGATTTCAACTCATAGTGACCCTATAGGACAGAAAACCGTAGGGTTTTCCAAGGCTGTAATCTTTACAGAAGCAGACAGCCACATTTCTATCCCACAGAGCAGCTGGTGGTTTGAACCAGTGACCTTTTGGTTAGCAGCTGAGAGCTTAACCACTGCCCTACCAGGACTCCTTGGTTAGTTCCCTACTGGCTGAAAAAGAATCAACTGGAGAGTTTGTTATGCAGATTCCTTAGCTAGCTGGTCTGGGGAGCAGCCCAGAGTTCACGGCCTAAGACTCTCACCAGGTGAATCTGATGTGCACGTAGGTTTGAGAACAACTGATACATTGTGTTCATTTGATTGAATCATGAGCTATTTTTTAAATATATGATTTCATTGTGCCTATGCCCAAAAAGAAGATGATATAATTAAGTCCCAACTCAAATGTTTTTTGTTTATTTTAAAGGGGGTAAGAATGTGAATTATTTAAAACATTTATCAAGCACCAAAGTACAGGCAGTATACCAAATATAAAAAATGTGATTATATCAAATAATGGTCTTCATAGTGTGGTTCTCATACCAGTAGGATCACCATCACAGAGAAACGTGTTAGAAGTGCAAACTCTCAAGCTCCACCACGAATCTATTGACTCGGAAACTCTGGGAGTGGGGCCCAGCAACTTGTGTTTTAAAAATCTCTCCTGTGATTCTGATGCAGGCTTAAGTTTAGGAACTATTAATAGAAAGAATAAAACACCATCTCTGATGATCTCAAGTAACTTGTCCTTAGTGGGGGGCACACACAGGTAAACCTACACTATAGTAATTGTCATGGAGGTAAGCCCAAGGAGGGTCTCTAAATCACGCCTGGATTCAGGAAGGGCTTCATAAAGGATCTGACACATGTGCTAAGTTCTGAAGTGTGAGTACTAGTTAGTCAAAGTAGAAGGGGAAGAGTGTTCCAGGAATAGGGAAAAGCATTTGCAACATCACAGACGAAAAAAAAAAAAGATATTTTGGGGAAAAATTCACTGGTTTGATAGCAATGGAATGAAGGCTGGGGAAATACAAAGCTAGCAAAAGTAGGTCAGAGAACTGCATTCTAAGGCTAAGCTAGAGGAATTTGGTTTTATTCTGAAAGCTGTACGAAGCAATTGAAATAATTGAGTCATGGATTAGAATTACGTTGCGGGGAACTTGTGAGTGGTTAATGTAAACTGGACAATGGGTTTTATATTGGAAAATAGTGTGATGTAAATCTAGGAAACTAGGTTGGGATATTTCACTATCTGTCAGGCATCTACCGTATCAACGTTCTGTTGCTAATGAGGGTGTTTGAGGTTGAATAGGAATGATTCCTGGCCTCAAAAGCTTACAATCTCCTGAAAATTCTGGCCTTTTAGCCTTTCACTATATGTAATACTATGATTAATATTGACTGAAAGAATTAGCAAAAGATGCATAAAAATGATAGCATCTTAGCAGAAATTGAGCAGAAGAGTGGAGTAGCATGACAGCAAACACCAAGATCTGGAAGGGCGAGGTATTTTTAAGAAATGCCAAATGGAAGCAGCAGTCAGGAAATCAAACGATGGGTTGCATTGGGCAAATGTGCTGCAAAAGACCTCTTTGGAGTGTTAAAAGACAAAGATGTCACTTTGAGGAGTATGGTGCACCTGACCCACACCATGATATTTTCCGTCGCCTCATATGCATGTGAAAGTTGGACAGTGAATAAGGAAGACGGAAGAAGAATTGATGTTTGAATTATGGTGTTGGCAAAGAATATTGAATATACCATGAACTGCCAAAGGAACCAACAAGTCTGTCTTGGAAGAATACAGCCAGAATGCTTCTTGGAAGGGAAGATGGCAAGACTTCGTCTCACATACACTGGATATGTTAACAGGAGAGACCAGTCCCTGGAGAAGACCATCAAGCTTCGTAAAGTAGAGGGTCAGCAAAAAAGAGGAAGACCTTGGATGAGATGAACTGACACAGTGGCTGCAACAACAGGCTCAAAAGTAACAATGATTGTAAGGATGGCGCAGGACCGGGCAGTTCTGGTGTACATAGGGTCGCTATGAGTCAGAACCGACTCGACAGCACCTAACAAAAACAACAGCCAAATAGAACAATAAAGCTCATTCATAAGCCACATCAAAGTCTGTAGCAGAAAATGGCTCGGGAATTGGCATTTGGAAGCAGATGGTAGAAAGCTTTGAATGTAACCTGTTGGAAGGGGCCAAGGTAAGAAGGGCATTTCCAGGAATGAAGAGAAGGCAGAAGGAAACTGGCCCTGATGGGCAGAAAGAAGGTAGATGAGCAATCTAATTAAGCAAAGGAATATGTATTTAAAAGTTGGTCTCAATGTCTACCACTATAATCTTGCAAAAGTAGGATTGCAAAGGAAGTAAAAGTTAAGTTGCTAAGTAAAGGATAAGCACCAAGACAGCTATTGTAGGTTCCTCAAGGATTCACATCCACCAACCACAGAAAAAGAAAAGCTGTGTTAAACATGAAAAGCTTTGGAATGCATTAGGATCTAATTAATTTATAATCATCCTTGGTATCCAAATAGAAGCATTTAAAAATTATATTTATGGGATACTTTTGGAGTATAATTCTTTTTATACATTGGCCTTCCTTTTTGTTCCTCAAATCTTCTAAACTTCCTACCTTAAGTACGTTATATCCTGTATCATTGTCTATCCATCCCTTTCTTTGTTTATAGTATTTGTGAATTACTTAAAAATATATTATACATCAATTTATTCATTCATTTTGTCCATCCTCCATACAAGCTCTGATGAACATACCTTCTTCTACTGTATCTGCAGAACCTCGAATAGTATCTAGCCCAAAGGTTGACTGATTTTTTTTTTAATGAATAAATAAATTACCATAGGGAAAATGAAATAAATGTTATCTCTTTACTATGATCAATATTTGGGAGCTCCAAATCTCCATCATTCTTCAGTTTAAATCTAGATTCCATTGGTTCCTAGACTGAAAATCATTACATCTGGAATCTCCTTAATCTCTAGATCATCATTTCTGCTTTAGTATAAAGAACACATTTCGATTTTTGGATGACCATTGGCTCCCTAAAGTGACTCATTTAGAGCTTTTATAGAACATTCTAACTCACGATTGTATTAAAACCAAAATGTATGTAGCTTTACCTAACATGGAGCCCTGAGAATGAA